AAAGAGAGATTTATTTTAGAGGAAACTCTTACACTGCATGTCATTTTTACTACAAATTAATCTTACAGTCTGAGTACCCAGCCTGGTATTTAGGGGTAAGTTCTTATTTACTGTAATTTGAGTTTTCAGGGGGTTATAAAGGAACTTCTAAAATCTAAGCTGAAACTTGGCATGACAATTTTCAGCCCAGATCCTTCATTATCTCCTGAAATATATTTTCCCAGATTTTGAAATGCAATGTAGAATATTGGTTTGTTTTCTTCATTTAAGACTTCGGACAAGGTCTTTAAACAAGGACTTTGTATTCATGTTTGCAGAACACAAGTGTTCTCGAAATTAGTGGATACCCCGTGTCTGCAACCACCATATGACCCAGCCTCTCTAATGGTTCTGAGGTCTTGTTTGCCTCATTAGTTGATTAGGTTTAAATGGCTAAGCAAGGTGTACTGTTAAAAGGAGACAGCTGGACACGTACATTAGCAGCTTTCTTTAACACCTTCCATATGCCAACAATGACACCCATGAAAGGAAGGGGCTAAAATGGAAACAACTTCCCTAAAAACACCTTGCACCAAAGGCTCCTCAGATCTGGTGCCGTGGTTTTATGCCCTGTATTGTCTTGGGGGCAGATTTAGCATCTATTTTGGCTTCAGGCCAGCTCTTTCTTGCTTGACCTCAGAGTGACTCAGAAGTGATCCATGATTAATTTACTTAAGATTTAAGAACAAGAACAAGAAATTAAACAGTTCTACTCCACAGATTTGCTTTGCCACTAGTAAATTAATCAAATGAGAGTCTAATTTGTTTTAGATTAAATGAATTCCCTCTGTTCGCTGCCTTAATCCCCAGCTGAACTGCCTTTTCATAATTCCCACTGCCTTGAAGCATTATGCTGTAACTTATTTAACTCTACAACTGTATTTACTAGAGGTGTTGCAGTAATAGCTTATAACTGGAGGGCAAGTGGAATTTGGCATTGGTACTCAATGGGGCATGTATATTGCCAAAATACCTTTTTTTTTTTACTTTTTTGGACCAGAACTCTTACTTTGCACTGACTCCTTAAAATATGTGATGTATTGCTGTTCAGCCACAGTGAGACAGTGATTTGTAGCACTTTGCTGTAAGCTCCCCATGACAATCTGTTCAAGCATCCAAGGAGACTCTTGTAAACCCAATAAAACAGGAGATCTCTGGTGGCCCTTCCTCTACAGGATTAAATACAATTGGTTGCTCACATATGTTTCTGTTCTGCCCGAAGTTCACCTTTTTTATGGACCTTCCTACTGCCATAGTTCTGTACAAGTCAGTGGAATGAGACCAGCTTTTAATGTTTCTTCATCTTTCTTATTCTGGATTTCCTATCTTTTGGTTCACAGCTGAGAGCTCAGTTGAGGGTCTTATAACTGAGTTAGGGCTGGTCTCCCATACTAGAGTTAATTCTTGTGACCAGGACATAACAACAAATTCTGCTTGATTGTCTGCTTCAAGGAGGAGTCTCCCCTTCATACTTTTTGCCCATGAAAATAAGCCTTGTCTGCATATTAATGCATGTGTATGTAACAGAAATACTGCCTTCATTCCAGTCCTCTTTGTAACTGAGAAGGACTGGATTTAAACTAGAGAAAAATATTTCTAACCTAAGGCTTTCACAATGTCAAACAAACCTCTCCTACACCAGTTCAGCCTGGCTCAAGCATGGGCACCACTAACGTGAAAATTCAGAATTTCTGTTTCTAAGATCAGTCACAGGTGCTCAAGACTTATTAATTTCTGCCACAGTGATTTCTGATACTGCCTTTAAAAGCATAAGTCATTAAAACATACTAGAGGTGTTCATAGTATTTACCTTCTTATTTGGTGTATATTTTCTTAACCTCTGTAATTCATAACAGATCACATTTTCATAGTTTTCACTAGAAAAGCTGTTACCTTTTCAATGAAAACAGGTTCTCCTCTATTTTTCAGATTTGAAGATATCAGGAAGTTTTGAGATTTTTGTAGAACTTGTGACAAAATTTTAATATTTCCAACACTGGAACAGGGAGCTGAGGATCAAGTTTCTGCTGCCTCCAGTGAGGGCAATACTGCCCAACAGGCATGGGAGGAGCAGGCTGGGTGCAGGGCTTTGCCTTGGGACTTAAATTTATAGGCTTGTTTGTCAACTTAATTTTTGATATTTCAAATGCAGACTTCTTCTGACATAGGACTTTCAACCCATCTTAGTCTCTTTTTCCAAAGTGCTGTGATTTATGAATGTTGAGTCTAAGCTTGCTTTATTAATTTCTTCCATCTTTATTTTCCTTAAGCTTGTTAAATTACAGTTAACCTTGTAAAGTACTATATTTGCACGTGATTTCAGTGAAATTGCAGTTGTGACTGAAAGAACATTGAGCTTTGTCTGTTAATTAATTTTCATAGACTTTCCCTAAAATTACATTGACTGCCCCTTGCAAGACCAGCTCACAGAGATGATGTTTGATATTTTAATGATCAGGGAGACGAGTCACCACTTGACATAACTGTCCTTTCCCGTCTCCACTTCTTGGTTTCAAATATCACAAGTGCTCCTCAAAATTGAATAATGAATAATTATAATGTAATCAAAGCTTAAGGAAAAAACCCATCCCTAGAACGAATAACATGCAGCATTGCAAATACTGAAAAGCATATAGCATATATATATATATATTTAAAAGTTTATGTGTGCATAGAAATGTATAAAATGTTCATATATAAACGTGTTGCATATACCGAAATGGCCAAAGAAACAAAAATGTGATTAAAGTTGTAAAATTCAATGCTGTTGGTCTAAGCATGAAAAACAGGAAAAGTAGGGAAGGGGCTGTCAGCCTAGGAGGGAGGTTTTGGAGATGTGGTGTGGGATGAAGCTGCAGGATTTAAAGGTGGCCTGGCTGTATACACCAGATATGGACGGGATAAGCCAGGTTACACTCCTGGGAAACAAAGGAGGCGATTGTGTTGCAGCCTGATAGCAGGAGAGGGCAGGAAGCTAAGGTCTCTGGAGCTGTTATCTTGTTTTGTGCAGCATTTTATCTTTTGTGCAAGAGGGGAAGATCTTTCCTGAGTGGCTCACTGCTGGGATGAGAAGTTGGTCGTTGACTGTTTGTGGTTTATTAGTATTTGTCGTGTTTAGTTGGAGGGCTTTGTCTTCAGATAACATTTGGGACAATTGTGAGGGTTTGTTTGGTTTGGTTATTTTAAGGTTTCTTTCTGTCTTCAAAACCAGGGTATGTTTGTTTTGCCTTAAGGAGCATCTACTGGTTCTTCCATTTCTTAAATGCACATCTGAATTGGGGGTCTCACTAAAGATATGGACAGGAGCACTGCTGGCAGTAAGCAAAATGTCTTACCTAGTGAAGAATATGTTTTAGCAGTTTAATCAATAATGCTGTCTGAGTAAAGGGGGATGTTCTACAAAATTATGCATTTCATGGACTCTGCTGCTGCTTCAGGCAAAGTGTCCTTCAGACATCTGTGTGTGGCACCTCACAGGTCAGAAGGAAAAGTCAGATTTCCTGCTGGAGACATGCACACAAATTGTTTAGGCTTTGCTGAGCCTGGATGCAGACTGTATCTTTACCTTTGAATTCATCCCCCCAAGGCTCTGTGCTGTCCCAAGTCAGCTGTGGCACCTGTTTCGTGATGCAGAGCAGCCCAATCATGTGCAGTAAGTCTGTGGGCAAAAAAGGTCTAACTAGACACAGACTTTTCACTCCACCACATGTTTATCTGCGTTGAGCTTGCTTTTCCTCCACCAGTCATTAAATGTTCCCTCTGGGGAACACAGAAGTGGGAGAAGAACAGCCTGGGCTGTGCTGCCCTCCCAGCAGTTGATGCAGAGGCTGGTGCTGGTGACAAGGCAGAGCTTTTGCCTTTCCTGTCTCTGCAGAACGAGGGGATGTCTTGGTGGAAGGAGGCTGAACGCACGAACACAAACATTCTTTTTTTATAAAAAGTCATGGGTGTATTTATTTCTGCTGATGCCAGCCTTTTCCTTTGCTAACGGAAGGAAATGGAGAGAAATTCAGCTTCTGACAAAATAACCTTGTGATTATTAGCATATTACTGCTTGGTAGCTGTAAAGATGAGAACAAAAGGCATAATGGAATCACCAAATAATAGACTATCCTGAGCTGGAAGAGACCCTCAAGGATTATTAAATCCAACTCCTGTCCCTGCACAGGCCAGCCCCAAGAATCACACCGTGTATCTGAGCACACTGTCCTAACACTTCTGGAACTCAGGCAGGCTGGTGCTGTCACCACTTCCCTGGGGAGCCTGATATTCTCCTAACAGCCAACCTAAAGCTCCCCACAACTTCCATTCCCTCGGGTCCTATCACCATTGTTTGTGCCTCCAGTTCCCCTCACAAGGAAGCTGTAGACTGTCGTGAGGTGTCCCCTCAGTCTCCTCTTTTCCAGGCTGAACACACCAAGTCACCTCAGCCACTCCTCACACTAGAGGCTTCCACTCTAGATCTTTCACAATCTTCACCATCTTGGTTTTTATTTTTCTCACCTGAGTTTAACAATTCTATTTCCCATGTTTTATCGGATCTGATATTTCCAGGCCAAGCTGAAAATGCATGGGAGGCATGGATGGATGGACAACCATCCTTTCTGACTCCTGTGGTCCAGGCAAGCCTGACCAAGTGGCCCACTGGTGACAATTGTGGCTGTCATTGTGATGAGGGACATATCTGCTCTGGTCTGTACTTAGCTGGCCAAGCAGGCCTCAGGATGGCTGCCAGGTGATAAACCTGCACAGTGTGTAATCTGGAATTCTGCTGGGGATTCTCACTGGGGGAAAGGCTCTGAACCATCTGCTGGGATAGGAACAGCAGAGGACAAGAGTAGTAGCATGCCTAGCAAACCAAGTAAATTTACATTAATTTGTGAACACTCACTTATGAAAAACTTCTCATCCTTTTCCAGTGGTAGTAGTAATAATCTGCTGCTGTGTCTTTCTTTCTGCAGACGACTTTGCAGAGGAGGAGGAGGTGCAGTCCTTCGGCTACAAGAGGTTTGGTAAGTGATAGCAGTCTTTCAGCTTGCTTTTGATTGTACTTAGGGTAAATCAAACACTTGCTATGAAAAACTTTCTTGCTGGCATCATTGAGGCATACAGGTGCAGTCCCATCATCAACATCCAATGTCCTCCCAGAGGAAGGTGTGATGTTTAGACTTGGTTTATTTTCTTGGCAAGCATAAGGCTTCCTAAATAATTCTTTCATTAGGAAATTGAAGCCCACACCTGAAGAGAAATGAATGTGCTGGCTGTGAAAAAAGGGGCCATGCCTCTTATATGTCCTCTGCCCAGCTGGGCATTGCTTCAGCCCCCAGCCTGATGTGCAGCAGTTTGTAGGTTTTCCCCAGAGTAGTTTCACAGGATCTCCTGTAGACTTGCAGAAGTTGTACCAGCAGCTGAGCCACGACATAGGCTGTGCACTCCTCTCAAAGGAAAGGGAAAAGTATATGGTACGAATGCATTCTGATGTCAAAAATTATTAAAATGAGGTCACTTACTTTCCTTTTTCCACTTTCCTCTTTTTTTATGTTTGTTCACCCAAAATGGCCTTCTCATGTGAGGAGGGTAGTGCCACTCATCTGTGCACAGGGGTTAAGCAGCCTTCAAGGCCCGTGTTTTCAAGGCTTTTGTGATCTCTTTCCATTGGGAAAACATTTCAGTCTCTGCAGTCAACAGTTTCACCCAGGGCAGGAGAATGCCTGTCGCTGTGGCAAGGGGAAGGTGACATGGTGGCCTCTGAGCTCCCACGGTGCCAGCTCTCTCTTGGAGCAGCCAAAGGGGCTCATCATCAAAGCTACTGCTGCCTTTTCACCTATAAGCCATCATTATAATAGTTCACCTCATTTTTTCTGTCCTGGGAAAGTGGCTGCAGCAAGAGTCACTTTCAATGACCCCGGCTGGCAAGTAGATAGGAAAGTCAGGCTGAAAATAAAAATGAAAAATAAGTCAAAAATTCCTTCCATCCCAGAAGACGCAGGGGGAGGCAGTGTAAGGAGATGTGGAGTTTGGGAGGTGGGGATCACATTCGCATGACCTTTTCTCCCCCCTGAACTACTCCACTGCTCCCTGCTGTTGAGCTTTATTTTGGATAGATCAGCCAACCACAGAGCCAGCATCTGTGGCTTGGAAAGTCCTCCATAAGGCAGCACACAGGGTTTTTTCCTTTTTTGTTTGTTGTTTTCCTTTTGTTTGTTTCCTTTTTTTGTTGTTGTTGTTGTTCTGGATTAAGCCTTGGAATACAAAAAAGCAAATCTTGAAAAATAGGAAGCAATGCTAACTGTTCGTCACCTCCAAATAAGTAAAACATACTGGTATTCATTAACAGCTATAAAAATAAGTTCCCTTGGTGTTATTCTCCACTTGGCTACCCCTGGTCTGCACTCTCCTGCAGTGAACAAGATCTTAGTGAGGAGTGGGTACTCCATTATCCTTACTGTCCCAATAGTAAGTGTGCTGTTGTGATGTGATGGGATTTTTGCCTACTAACTTGCTGTCATTTCTTTCTTTCTCCTGGGTATTGTGATGCTACCAAGGTGAGTTATTTCTCCCCTTAAAAATACAAGACCATTTCCAGAAATGCTTGTGCTGTTGTGCTTGGTTGGGCAGCATGGAGGGAAGAGAGGACTGGCAGCCTGGAAGTGGTAGGAGATTTCACCACAAGAGGAGGAGTCAGGGTAATTAAACCCTTAAGAACCAACCATAACTGCCTTATGCCTCAGGAAAACAACATTGCTGTGGTCAGGGATGTATCCCAAATATCTGCAGTACAGAAGAGCCTTGACTAAAGGGGGAATGGGATCATTGGCACTGGTGAGAGCTGTGTAATTCATTAGGTCCCAATCCAAGGAGCCTTCTTTTTCCATACTGTTTTGGAGCCAAACTTCCTCTCATACCTTCATCATCTTTCCCAGCATCATGGGGCAGCTCAGGGAGGAGCTGGGCTGGCCTGGTTTCCACAGATCCCTGCACCAGCCTACATGCTGTTTGACTGTAGGTGCTCATGCTTTTGTGTCCCTTAAAGGGTTCATTACCTCTTCTTCAGAAAACTTGATTCAGTGTGTTCCCACCTCTACAGTCTCTTCTGCATTTCCAGGCAGCCTCTGAGCAGCCTCTGGAGAGAGCAGGAGCCTCGTGCCTTCAGCAGTGCTGGCTGCTTCCTCACCTGGCACTGGGCTCCTCCAGACAGAAGGGTGACCTGCACGACTTTTAAAGACTCTAAACTCAGTGAACAGCTGGGTCAGCATTTCAAGGGAAGCACCAGAGGCTGCTCTTGGGGCCAAAATGCAGCTGAGCTGCCTGATCAGGAGGAAATGTTACCCTGCTGTCTCAGCGTTCCCTCTTGGCCCTGCATCCTTCCTGGTAGAAGAAGGCAATAAGGGGGAATCCCAAGGCAAGAATCAAGTTTTATTATACAAACCTTAATAAAAGATAATTTTGAAGGAAGTCCTGTTTGTCTGCTGGGTGGCACTGTAGAAATGCCAGCGCTGTTCCTGTACAGCCTGTTGTTGTGGAAAGGGATAAAAACAGCAGTGGGGTTTTTGTTCAGGAGTCGTAGTGCAAGAGCAGTTGTGTTAATATATTGTGATTGGAGAAGTCCCTTTATGCTCCATGGACATGAGACATGGTAGATAGACCATGAGTCAAGTACCTTTGACTCCATCATTTGGAATTGGGAGGTCTTGTTTGAAGCAAAATGGGCTCTGAGGGGCAGAAGGCTAAAGTATAGCTGGTTTGCAAAAAACGTGGCTAGCAGTCAGTCACTGCTGGCAGCTGGGAACATGTGCTGGTCAGCATTTGGCAGGCAAAACTTTGACCAAGCTGCTTTCCTAGAGTTCAGCTGAGGAGTTTATTATTAGCTGCCTAGCAGCCAGAGCCTGTAGCTTGGTTCAAGGAAGGAAGAGATCAGCAGAAGGAGGGAAGGAGAGAGGCGTTCTCCAGCAATTCTCATTTTGGGGAAGAAGTTTTTGAAAAGAGGACTGAATATGCACTGTCTTGTAGCACTTCCCCTTTTTCTGAATCATTCTGTCCTTCCTTCTCAAATAAGTTAATTTCTGAGAATTTGTCACGCTACTGTATTTTTTAGTAGAACATTAACTGGTCATAGTAAGCCAAGCATACTGGGCATACACACTAACATATTAAAGAATAATGAATACAGATGCAGACAACACCTAGGAAAATACACATCAGATTTTTTCTCCTTTGAGCTTGGGACAGATTTGCTGCAGGGGGTCAGTAAGGAAAACAGTCTTTCCAGCTCACTGATGCTGTTTACTTCTTTTCAATGGATGCTACAGATGTGCAGGGATGCTGCCAGAAGTTGCTCAGCTGCAATGCCTCCAGATTGCTGCACTGAAAAAGTGAGAAAGCGTGTTTCTTATCCCAGTTACTTCATCTTCAACCCCATTTCTCAGGCTGTTTTAAAGTTGTCTGCTCCAGATGGCAAGCTAAGCCTTCTCACTGGTTTTCCTCTACCAGATTCCTACCAATATTAACTCTTTCATCAATCAGTGTCACTGGTTTGTACCACCTCATGCACAACTCACTTTGGGAAAGAATGAATGAGGAAAGGGCAAAACTTCCTTTCCAATATGATACATTTTGGGGATGCTAAATCTCAGGCATGAGAGCACAGACTAGTTTCTGGATGGTAGACAGAAGGATGAGCTCTCTGGCAGGGTTTGCCTCTTTCCTCTGGGATTCAGGCTCTGGGCATCTTGACAGGCAAGGGAATAGAAGGGATCAAATGGACTCCAAGGTAGAAGATCTGATCTTCCCAACTCATGGCATTCTGAGGTAATAGATGCAGAATTCATTGTGCATTTTGTTTCCTTATGTTAATGTTTAAGAGTTTAAAATCTACGCTTTAAGAAATAGAGTCTTTTAAGTAGAAATTTCTTGTTAAATTACTGATTGCATAATTCAAAGCTATGGTACAGTATGGAATTGCTGAAAGCAGAGGAGATGGTCTTTGAACTGTTGCGAAGCACACTTGTAATGTTTTAGAGAACAGACTTCAAAGAAATGAACTGAAAGCCCTGCTGATGAAGAGAAGCTTCCCAAGGAATCAGAAGATAGGACCAGTGCACTGTAGATAAGTGGAAGACTAAACAGCTTGTGTAAGATAATTACCCTTTGCCCTTGGCAAACACAGCCAGAATTGTAGACTGTGAGCCTGTTCCCCACAGAAACGCCCCTGGTCCCCTCCATGCTCTAGACAGTGAGTCAGGGTACCCCTCACCATCACCTCCCCTCTTCCCTGCTGAGCTCCCAGTAGGGGACAGTCTCCCATGTCCCCAGGGAGGTCCAGTGCACACCAAGGCACTGATCCTCCAGCCTTCCCCACACCACTTAGGTCAAGAGCTGACATGGAAGGGGGATAAAAATTACCAGGGGACCCCCTCAAGGACGGCAGGTACTTTTCTAGGTATGTTTTGTATAAGATATGACTGGGTCAGGATACCTCTTCTGTGCAGTTACAACAATCTAGCTCCTAAGCATGATTCCAGGTATAACAATCAAGTCCAGGAATTTGTGGATCAGGAATGGATGAATCATCCTGCCATGCAGTAATGAAATCTGCTATACTAAAAAAGGTGAGGGGGGGGAAAAACTGGTTTAAAAATATATTTGTAAAATAGGGGGTTTTATTCCCTGATGAGTGGCTTGGAAACAGCTGAACAAGATCAATTTAACTATTTTCTTCTGTGCCCTTTTTATAGTATTTTGTACAGTAAGAAGTTAGATATTATTTCTTCACCTTTAATAAAATATAACTAGGGAAATTTTTGAGTGTACAGCTGATAAAAGTGTTGTGAATAGGTTACAGCAAAAATGAAAACTTTGAGATACAAAGCTTTTTCTGAAAAGACAGGGGAGTTTGTGCCTATAAGTAGCTGTTCAAACATGATCAAAATTCATAGCTCAGAATTTTGTGATAATTCAGGAATAGCATTTATTCATTAACACTGCACAGATGGAATAATTTTAGTCCTTGTCT